CCGGTTGCCGATCGCGCGACCGGTTGCCGATCGCGCGACCGGTTGCCGATCGCGCGACCGGTTGCCGATCGCGCGACCGGTTGCCGATCGCGCGACCGGTTGCCGATCGCGCGACCGGTTGCCGATCGCGCGACCGGTTGCCGATCGCGCGACCGGTTGCCGATCGCGCGACCGGTTGCCGATCGCGCGACCGGTTGCCGATCGCGCGACCGGTTGCCGGTCGCTCGTGAGATGGGTCCGCGACCAGTACCGGTCGCGCGACCGGTCGTGGACTATGAAAGATGCCAATGAAACGCTTGAGTATTATTGAAAAGTAATGTCTTGACTAATATGTGGTACGAATGCAAAGTGATTTCAGCTGGAAATTCAACTTTGATAATTTTGTCTGGGTGGTCTATTTCTAAGCAGTAATCATTAGCGCAAACATGTATTTTATCTTGGTGTTGCTGCATCTTGATGATTATGCCTCCTTTTGTGCATTGTATTGCGCTTTCCTCGTTCTTTGTGCTCGCTCTCGATTGAACGGTTGCGCAAACGCTCGTCAATAATGCGAGCATGAGCCAGTGTTGATGAAATGTAGGGGATCGGTTCCTGCTTCTGTGGTCACTGTGCACTCCAACGGCTGTTACGTGATAGTCCTTGTTTTCTCTTCGCGGCGTGGCAGTCATGGTCGAGTTCGCTTGACCGTGCGATCGTCTTGGGTGCTTTGAATTTCTTGATCTTGCTTGCTTTGGGCATTGATTGAACTTTGAACTTGATTAGGCGATTGTTGATTGGTAGTTGATTGCGATTCCTTGATACTATTCCGGAGTCCACTATTATTTTCTATTTCTAATGGAATAAGGAAGTTAACTGGTCTTGTAACAAGAGACCTCGCTGTTTTTAATTCGACGGTTCGGACGGCACCAGCTTGATCTGGAATCAATTTAGTGACTAACCCTAATGGCCACTCTCCTCGAGGTGTATTCTCATCCATGATGAGTACCACTTCACCCAAATGTGGCTGTTTTCTTGTGAACGATCTTTGCTTGATTCTTAATTGATGGAAATTTCGTAATCCTAATAAATACGTGTTTGTTCAGAACTTCCACAAGCTCTGTAAATAATCCAATTGAGTTTGAAAATGTTGAATAGCTTGTTCCCCAGTTGAAATTATTGGTAAGTACTCTTGATCACAATCGCTGTTGTCCACAGATGGTGGAAGATTGATACTTGCGTAGGGTATAATGAAGTCTATGGGGCGAATGATGACTGAGTCGTCTACCGTACTACCGTACCGGAGTATGCGAGTGGACGTGTGTTTACCATGGCTTCGCATTCTGGTATAACCGTAATAAACTCGCTTTCTCGTATGGTTTTCCTCCGTGCTATTTTTCTTAGAATTGACTTCATTATTCCTATCATTCGCTCGTAGAATCCTCCTTTCCATGGGGAAAGTGGGGTGATAAATTTCCATTGGATCCCTTCGTTTGAGAGGAAACTGTTAACTGATTGCGTGGCAACATCGGTGCGATCCCTAAATGTTTCTATTATTTCACGTCCTAGAGTGTAATTAGTGGCATTATCGGAGATTATTAGTGTTGGCTTTCCTCTTCTTGCTATAAATCGGCGGAGACCGTTGAGAAATTCTACTGCACTTAAATTATTGACGATTTCTAAATGCACTGCTCTTGTGACCATGCATGTCGAAAGCAGGATCCACCGCTTTGTTCCCCCGTTTCCTTCGTTGACTACTCGAAAGGGACCGGCGGGGTCGATACCGACGTGCGAAAAGGGCCGCGATAGCTCCGTTCGACAATGTGGTAGCGGCGGAGATTCAGGGTAGAGGAAAGGTTTCGAATTCCATCTTTTGCAAATTAAGCAAGATTTCAAACATTTCTTGACTGTCTGTCGTCCCTTGGGGATCCAGCAGTTAAGACGTAAATTAGCCAAAGTACCATTCACTCCTTGTTGCCCACAACGATTGTGGACGTCTTTAACAATCAAGTTAGTGAAGTCATGAGTTTCTGGGAGTAGGATGGGTTCTTGTGTTGCTTTTGCTAAGTGTTTGGCTCAAATTCGTCCGCGACATCTAATAAGCCCGTTTTCATCTTTGTACAGTTGTAAGTTTATGAGTTTCACGAGCTTCTCCTGTGAAATTGTCGCTTGAGCCAACTTAATCAAATTTATTTCTGCCGCGAAGAGATCGGCTTTCTGTAGCGTCGCCAGGGGTCGGCATGTCGTTATTTGATCAATTCCTCGTATTGCATTCTTCAGTAGCTCCTTATTTGAAATTGAGACCTTGTCGAATATTTGAACTTTGAGGAATTTTATTACCGAAGAGAGAATTCTTTTGTATTTAGAGAATGATGAGAATGCTCCTTGGAAAAGGGATTAAGGAATTTCTGTATTTGAGTTTACTGTAAGAACCGTAGAGGACAGGTCTTCTAGGCTAGAACTATGCGCCTCCTTGTCTTCTGGTGATAACCAAGAGAATTCTTGCAATTCTAACCACGTTGATTTTTCATTGAGAAGAAAGGAAGGACCCATCCACCACATGTGTGTTTTGAGTTGATCTTTTGTTAAACCTTTTGTAGTATAATCAGCAGCATTCATTTCTGATGGTATGTAGTACAGATGGCATGCCACTTCTCTGTTTGACCAGTTTTTGATTTTAGTTCTAATTTCTTGACATCGATTGTTGACGAAGGTTCCGTGTTTAGTGTTTGATTGAACCCAATAGAGAACGACCTGTGAATCGCTAAAGATATTAACGTCTTTTATAGGCAAGTGCGTCTCTTGTATCCCAAAATTTGTTAAACGGACTGCGATAAGGAGGGCCAATAATTTTAATCTTGGGATTGTTACGGTCTTTGCAGTCTTATTGATTGGTGCCAGGCGTTGCCTCGCCATGATCAGACGGCTGTGTGTAATACCGTCGTTATTGATCGTACGCAAATAAGTTGCAGCCGCAAATGACCGCAATGACCATCAACGAATGTGAGTAGCTCGTATCTATTGTTTGCCGCAAAGTTCGTGATTGCGCGAGGGACTGACATATCGAAACCCATTGCATTTCCACAGATTGTTTGCCACTCCCGCTCCAGATCGGGGGGCAAAACCTCGTCCCATGTGTAGTTATGCTTCCATAGATCTTGAAGAAAGAGTTTTGCAGGTAAAAGTAAGGGGATAAGGAACCCAACCCCAAAGGGTCGAATGTGGAGTGTGCTACTTGTAATACTATACGTTTCGTAAGGGCTGAGCACGGTTTGAGTTTGCATTTGACTAAGAACGAATCCTCTTGACGGTTCCATGGAATCCCAAGGATTTTGGCTGATTTACTGGTTGACAAGTCTTCGGGTTTGATTGATTTATTGCAAACCTCATCATTTGAAACGAATAGACGCAGATTCATAGACATGTTATTGAATAGCTTTTTGGACATTTGATATTTATTGATGAGTGATTGAGTGGAATCGTCTGTAAGGAGAACGTTGTCCACGTAGAGTTGTTTTTGAAATTCTTTGTTGAGTATTGGTTGTTGTTCGATACCGTATTTAATGGATATGCCTAACAGGAATGGAGATGCATTTATTGCAAATGGAAGTCGACAGAAGCGTAATATTCTAAGGTTTTGAGGTGATGGAGGTTCATCTACGTTTCTGAGCCATAAAAATCGAACGGCGTCTCTCTCCGTTTCTTGTAGATGTATCATGTGGAATGCTTTCTCGACATCCGCAATCAACACTTTAGACCCTATTCTGGATCTCAGAAGTATCCCACATAGATTAGGTAGTATAAGAGGACCTTGATGGATAACATCGTTGAGGCTCAATTCTCCTTTCATTTTCGCCGGTGCGTCCAGGACGATACGAGTTTTTGTTGTTGCACTATCTAGTTTGATAACTGCTTGATGGGGTATGTAGTAATACGGAGTTGAACTATGTGTTGTAGAACGCGGTACGTTTTCAATAAAATTCTTTTCGAATTGTTGTTCAATTATGCCGCAGTATTCTTTCCAGCATTGAGGGTTACGTTCCTTCATTTTGAATAGTTGATGAAATCTGCTCAGGGCAAGATTGTAGTTACTTGCGAGACGGGTTTTATTTGGTTTCCAAAGAAAACGCACGAATATTTTGTTGTCTTTGATTTCTATCGTGGAGTAAAACTCTGCTACTATTTTGGTATTGATGTCCTCTTGTGAACTCATATCTTCCATACCGATTGCGTTGAGTTTCCATAGCTCAGAAATGTCCATCTCTTTTTGACTTAAGTTGAACGCCGTACATGTCTGCATACCCCGTCTACCAATATCATTATCAGATTGTTCGTGATCATCATGTGCTAATCCTGAGAGTATTGATCCGAACGTGGTCGGTGTAAGGAACAGTTCGGAAGGAAGTTGAATCACAGGTTTACGAAGCTTCATAATTGTGTTGAAGTAGTTCATGCCGAGAAGTATTTCAGGGACAACTGTGCCGCTGACTCCGTGCAGGACACGTTGAGCCTCGTCTTGTAGGAGATGTTCTCTAATAAAGATCTCGTCCTGATGAGGTATGGGAACCACTTGAAGAGGAGGTGTTAGTTGATCACTTGTTAACAATTCAACTTCATTGCTATCCCCTTCGGTATTATATAAACGAGTGATAACTCTTTTTGATTTTCTTCTTTCCGCTCTCCCTCCAAATGTGTGGACTACAATAGTTGACTCACTGTGAATGTCGAAGTTCATTCTTAGAGCTAGTGATGTTGATATAAAAGATTGGTCTGAGGCCGAGTCTAGAAGCGTTAGGACAATTGTCTTTCTTTGATCGTCTAATGATTGTATGTAGACAGGAACAATCATCAGACGTACACTGTTGCTGCTCGCGAAGGCGGTTGTGAACTCGTCAGGAAGGGGTTCTGATCCGCGATTGTTTTGAAAATGAAAGTTCACTGTGACGGTTTCCACGGATCTTCTCCTAGGCGGTGGCGATTGATTGAATCGGACTTGACGCTCCGGGATTTTTGAGGGAGAAGAAGAGTGTCTAATCATGCTTCGATCATGCGGTTGTCTTGATATTGGTTTTGTGATAACCGTTGCGATAACTTGAATCGATCTGGATTGACATGGTTCCTTGGAACTGGCCTATTGGGTGAATAACTTTTACTCTTAGGATATCTTCCGGGAGAGTTCTTCTTCCTTGTTTCGTAAGGAATCTTGCTGTTCAATTGATACTGATATCGAGGGGTATGTTTCCGTAGGTTCATTTTAGGTTGTCCTACGATAGCACGTTTTTGAGGTTGACGGCAGATTGTGTAATTGTGAGGACCGCAGCAGTAAAAACAGTTCTGCTTGAGGCAGAATGCTGTGCGGTGTTTAAACTAAAACACTTCCAACATGCATTAAGTTCGCGGAGACGCTCTATCTTTTGCACAACCTTAGAATACCTGTTGCAATGCTGGAACTTGTGTTGTTGACCACAGCCTGTGCACTGCGATCTCGGCGGTGCTGTTTCGCATGTGTAAAAAATTGAGTGCTCACCTTGGTAAGGGTCTTTTATACCCTCTACGTGTTCCTTCCGTTTAATTGCTGTTGACAAGTTATCTAGAAGGTTTTCCATGCTCCATAGCGTTCATGAATCGAACTCTTTCCTAGCCATTTCCTCTTGAACGTTTTATGAAAACGTTTCTAGAACCATGGTTCTCAGGTTGGTGTTATTCACCTGCTCTCCTTGTTTCTCTAATGTAGCTATAATAGCTTGCACATCACTAAGGTTGTTTTGTAGGGAGCGGTGATCATCTTGACATTGTGGCATTGATTTGAGCTTCCGGATCATTTGTATTATGATCCGTCGGGGGTCTTGATATTGACTTTTTAGTTGGCCAATAGCTTTCTCATAGGAATCCCCTGTTCTTGGTATCATTTGAAGCTATCTAGCCGTATCTCCTTTGCAGCAATTAATGAGGATTGACAGTTTTTCAATGTTGGGATAGGGTTGCTTATGTACCAGCTCGTGGAATAATTCCCAAAAGGAGTCAGACTCAGAGGGATTGCCGTAAAAATGTGGGACTTTGCCGTAAAAATGTGGGACTTTTAGTTCGTTTCCTAAAAGTCGTCTCTCCATTGAACATGAGAAATTCTGCTGTGAGGGCTGGGGTTGATCTAATAGCCCTTGTACGTTTTCCCTTTTGAGTTCATGTTTTCCAGTGGCTTCTTGACATTGAAGTTCCGCCAACCTTTTCTCTAATCTGCGTTTGACTGCACGGCTTGGTGAAGCAGCACTTCCCCTCTTTTCTCAGACCAGTAGTTATCAAATTCCTTTTCAACGTCGTCTTTGACGTCTTGAAAAAGGTCATTGATAGATTGATTACATCCTGCATGATAATCGCTAATGTCGCTCCATCTTTGCTCCAGTTTGAGCATTAAATTTTTGACAATTAAGCTTTTTGAAATGAGAAAAATCTCAAGCTCTTGAGCGTTGAAGGGGAACGTCTACGGTTCCTCGAATTCAGTGGCTTCTTGCAGTAAAGTATTCAAGGTGTTCAGTTGTCGGGTCAGCTTCTGCTTTGCATTCTTCAGGATGAATGGATGCTGTGCCATAGCGTTCCTCGATGTCGCCCTATAGTAGTAACGTCTTCCTTGAGCACGTTGCTGTCGTTGAAGACTGATGATGTGTGGGGACTCGACCGGCTTGGCTTTATATCCCTGCCTCTTATCTAGCTTCATCTAAATAAGAATGTGCTGAGAACGCTGTAACATTTTGTTATGGGAAACATTGGATGTAACATTTTATCAGGAGAAAAAAATGCGTTTCTCAACGATCATGATTAAATGTTATGAGAAATTTTGAGCTTTATCTTTTTGTCTTGGGACTGACGAAGACGGTTATTCAATGCTTTGAGAGCAGGAATTTTGATTTTGATCTCGAATGCTTCGGTGACTCAATTTCTGAGCAAACCTTTCTTTTGCAATATTTTCCTCTTGAGAAGTTTGAGAAGCTCAAGAGCTTTCACCTTTTCGCTCGCAAACATAACCTCCAAGAATGTATTGGGTGAACGAGAAGTTGTAGCCGATTCAAAACTCGTCGGCTTGACGAAAGGTAACAGGTAAGGTTTGACTGTCCGTACTGAAAGTGAAGTATTCTTTACTTGTTCTACGGATTCTTTCGAATTTGGTACGACTGCCGGTCGTCCACCGGGTTTTCTTTGAGTGCCCTTCTCAATCATCGAAAGAGTAGTCGCGCGACGACGTTTTGATTATCGATATTATATTAAATGATGTGAGATTTTCAATT